AAAACCCTCCTACCGGTTGTTACGTCATAAAATGATATTTCGGCCGCGAAGCGCGTGTCGCTCATGTAGAGGGGTAGCGCGTGCAATTGCCAGCTTTTCAGGTATACATTCCTCCGCACTGACACCAGTCGTGACGTCTTCCTTTTTGAAAATAGCGAGAGCGCGCGTGCGTAGCATAGATAGACGCTGAGGATAAAGGAGAGCGCAGATTCCGAAACCTTCTTTTATGACGCAACGCTGCGGGAAGAAGGGACTTCGGCGGTACTTTGAAAATGCTTTTCTGCATCCTCCGTGCACCAATTTAAAAATTAATCTCAATATTCGTGATTTCCGGAGGCCATATGAAGGCGATTTGAGTGGTTTTACTCAAATACAGAACCACTTCAGTTTCCCTTTAACCTTTTTTTTTTGTGTGTGTTAATAACTTTTCGAAAATTTTTCGCAAGAGCTTTGCGTTGAAGGGAGCTAGCGGAAGTTCACATGCCGTCACGTTGAGCACATATTGAGCACGCGCCCGCAGGAGCCGTAATCCGCAGTTTACGATCACCGAAACGTTCCTGTTGTCGAGGCTATAGAGAAGTTTCTACATTGCTCCAGTTACGCACTGCTGCGCGGGCACGTGGCTTCGTCTTGCGTCTACTTCGCACGCATTTTCGAGTGAAAGAGACGCCAAGCGAAGTTACGTGCGTGTGCAAGTAGCTCTTACAGCGTTGCCTGCTATGCGTTGCAGAAAGTGCAACTCAACGGTAAACTTCGTCATGAAAGGCGAGTCGAAGAGCCTGCAGCGGTAGCAAGGTTTTTAGCTCACTCTGCTAACTTCTTGGTGTGTTTAAATAAGGGCGTTTATGTGTACAGTGGTTAGCTTGGACGCCTCCATGCTCATGTGTAAAACCGAAATAGTCCCTCTAAGTTGGTAATTGAAGCGGGAAAATTAAAACTAGAACATTAGGATTCTAAACCCTCAGACGTGTTTGTGAAACGACGAACTGCACAATCCAAGCGATTTGAGATTGCGTTGAGCTGTTTGTTAGGTTTTGCTTCCCGGTCTTGGAGGTGTTGAGCCCCACCGTTACCAAACCAGCTCCCATCGTATCTTGTCTCCTACATTCGATTCTGGCTGCAGTTTGGGGAATGCCCAATCATTCGATTTGTGCAATACCCAATCAAAATTCCCAGTGCGTCTACTTTCCGCGCGGGAACTTGGAGAGCCATTCAATGCAACCAGAGAACGATGAGGCCGAAAACATGTTTTTGCCCAAAGCCAGGGTCACATTGCATATAGGGAGTATTCACTGGCGGCTATATCTGTGTGCGTGGTAGCTGAGCGTGTGCAGACGGCGAGCTTACACAGTTCTTTTGTAACGTGCATTCCACACCATCAAGATTGCCGGTCTTAGCAGCCTATTGATGTAAGCTCGTTCTGAGCATGCGCCCTAAACGTCACCCTCAAATATGGCGTTCAGTGAATGCCCCCTATACATCATACAAAAGACAGTCCGCATACAGATTTGGACGCGAGTCACCGTGTGATCCGTGTTTCGAATGCCACATGGCAATAAGTTCAAGGAGAAACTTGGCACGCTGCATTCGAACCACGGATATTGCGATGACTCGTGTTTGCACACCGTCCTTTGTATGATGTATGACCAACGTGACCCCGCGGCTTACGAATGAAGTCTACGATGGCCACTCAGTAATGCGAAACGTAATGCTCGATGACCAATCGCAAGCATCATTTCCGGTCTAAACGCATTTTTCCCTCTCACTATTAATTGAGCTAGCTCCATGAGCGCTGCGGTGATCGGCTCTCTCCGTGCTCTGTGGGAAAGTTGATGCAGGAGAATTGTTTGAAGTTGGCGCTAACCGAAATACGGGGTAAAATGTATCGAATATGACAAGGTGGAAGCCACATTCGCGGACACAAATCTTCACCCATCTAAAAAAAAGCCCCTGCGTCTGCCTTCCCGCACAACCCTCGCAGAGCCAATCACCACGACGTACGCAGGCAGCTCAGCGAATGACGATGCCGAAACATATGTTTAGACCAAAAAACGTAGTCTGAGTTGTGACAATAAGCAATGCAAAACGTAACGCTTGGATTGCTTAATGTCACAACTCAGACTGCATCTTTTGGTCTAAACATATATTTCTGCATCGTCATTCGCTGAGCTGCCTCCGTAAGTTTTGCTGATTGGCTCTCTGAGTGTTGTGCGGGAAAACAGAAGCACGGGCTTTTTTTAGAGTAATATAATCGCAGGAAAACGTACGTGGAAGACGCAGCTTCCTTCTGACCTGTCGCGAACCTATAGGAAGAGTGATCAGTGCGCTCTCAGACACCGCCCGATCTTATTCAATTGCACCCAGAGCCTGAAAGGGGTCGTCGATCACTAAAAGGGGGTTTTGCACGAGGTGACCGATGCAGTAAAGACTCCATGAGCAATAAAGTTTGTAGCAAAGCAAAGGTTGCGACAGCCAAGTGCAATGCTGTATGATTCGCGCGAGACAACGTCAATGCAAGATAGCAGGCTCGGTCAGATTTATCTATGCCTGGACTCCTCGTCACCTCGTTCTGGCCCGCAAGACACAGTCACAATGTTCTTACGTCTGACAAAAAACGACACAGTATGCGCTGCAGACATAATCTGCGGATACGTTCCCGAAGCGCGTTCGCTTCATACATATTGGTACGCTTCGAAGAGATCTTCTGAGAATTTTTCTGTACGGCAAATGAGGCAGGGCCGTCCAACGAGGAAGAGCTCAGACAGTGTTGGCAGACTGTCTCTTGTATACTATGTGTGACAGCGGTTTTTCGGACCTTTTCTTGACGCGGACGCATGTCGCACGAATAAAAGAATATCTTCCTAAAATGTGTTTACAAAAAAAAAAAAAAATCGCTGTTTATATTTCGTGAGTTTTGCTGTAAACTGTCTCCCCGTAAAGTGCACTGCGTACTAAAGGCAGCTTGAAAATAAAGCACATAGAATCACTGAAAACTTAATAAACGGATAGGGAATAATACTAATAACAGTAATTATTATAAGCTGTTAGCGTCTTTAGCTAGTCGGCATGGCAGCCCACGTGAAGGGGCTTATTTACGGAAGAAGCTACCTGACCAAAACGACGGTCGCAATTCTGAGGATTCCATGATGTGCATTTTTGAATTTATTCTGGCCCACACTTTGCTATATTTACACTTTTTGCTATTCGCAACTTTCACGACCTATAGAGGGCGCGCTGGTGCCTTTTCAAAATGGCTGTCATCTATAGATGGTCGTCGTAGAACAGCAGTACGAGGCGGGGTCTGCGGCGCCTAAGTAATTCTAGTTTTGCTTTATGCGAGCAGTATTGGAGCTTTACTTTATTTTTTTTTCACGTCAGGAAGGTGTACGCCAGTATACCTTTATTGTGAAAGCCGATCATCCAGGAGCTAGAGAGCGCGATTCTGACACCGCGGTACCACCATCGCTGAAAGTTGCAAACAGACTACCACATAAAACGGCGATCTGGACATTATATGCGATAAAAACTCGCCGACACTTTACGAGGAGTGTATACTGCGGTTTACGCAGCTGAAGTTCGCCGGATCGGGGGCGAACGTAGACATAAGTGCCTATTCGATAAATAAGTTAAACTAATTGGAAGAACTATCAATAGGGCGTTATATATGTATAAATAGGTGCCGTAATTTTCGGACTATATATATCGTCGCGGACTATACATGTCTGAAGTTGAAATTATACGCGGTGCGGACTATAAAGGGATTGGTTTCTTCAAGACCGTTCGTTATCACGAGGCGTGACGGATAGTGTGCGTGACAGATTATGTTAACGACAATGTTTGCATAATGCAAGCCGTCTTTACACGCTAATGAGGCAGACATATTTCAATATATGCTGTGTCGATATATTTTTTTTTTACGCGCAGAATATGCATTAAGCGCAAACTATAGTAAAATGAAATGGAAATTGCTTGTTTGTTGTCACATTGGACGGTTTTCGAGTTGCGACTAGATCACTGACTGGCTGCAGCGTTACTTGGTGGCAGGCGGCCAGCGCGCCAACTGCGTGATCTCAATGGCGTGCCGACCGCCAAATGTCGACTACATTTGCTCTATCCCGCGATAACAAAATAATGACAAAGATAGGGGGGCGACGAGGAATAATCGTTTCCAGCTCCGAGCCAAGGTCAATCGATGAATCAATCGCAGATGTTCCACAAAAGACATTTAAAAGGAGAAAATAATAAACAGCGCCAAATCGGGAGGGCTAGATTTGTTGGCGCGGAATTTAGTACGTGGTTACGTCGTGACGAGACGGTCGTAGTCATATAGAGAAAGAACGCGCAACAGGTGGCATTGGTTGGGCTGACGTCAAAAACAGTTAGCGAATGCCACAGCCTGCCGAATCCGAATCACTACAGTTGATTTCATCGAGGTTAGCGTACCAGCACCAGGCAGTCAGCGTGGTTCATGACTGTCCTGACTCCCTTGGTCATCATCCAAATCTCAAAGCCTATGACCTTCTGAAAGGCAATTATAAAGGACGGTATTCTGCGAGTCTCGATCCAAATGGGAAAGGGCTCTTGGTGTATAACCTTGACGAAAAGTCGAATAACCCAGAGACGCGGAAAGAGAAAAAGCTGTATAGTTCGGTCTGATTACAACGTATTCCGTCCAGCAAAACACCGTGCTTTGAACCTGCCACACGCCCCCCACGATGAGCACGAGTCCTTTCACTTTAAAAGCTGGAACATCTGCGGAAAAGATGAGGTTACTGCACCAGAAACGAACACGCTAGCAGGAGATGCGCCACATCTTCCCTTAGCCCCCTCCGCGCGCGAAAGAACCTCATGCACATGTGGTGAAGCCCACGGCACGCGGGCTACTCCATGCGTTGACCGCGGGCGCTCGTCCTTAGCAAACCGTACTTTGGATCCGTCGGAAGACTAATAGCCACTCGGTTAACCACAAATATAGGGAAGAAAAAAAAAAAGGAACGTACCTCGACGGAGCAACGACAGGCGCGGTCTGGGCAAGATCCAGGCACGCTCGCAACCGCCAGGACGACGAAGATCCGCACGGCGAGACGGGACGACACGCGAAGCCGCGTGGTCCGGCGACGCTCCACCACCGTCCCACGTCGGGGTATACGGTATCTCGGTGCTCCCGCGACGGGGTGACGATCTCTTTTTCGGGCCTCGGGCCCTCACAGCACACCCCGGGCACCGGCTGAACGGGGAACGACAACACACGGAGGGGACGGGACGCGACGGCCGAGTCGTTGCGTCGGCTTATCTGCCTTGGCCGCCGCCGGGTGAGCCTTGGAAGCCGCGAGAGTCGCAGGTAAGGCTGTCGGGTATGCGAGGCCCGCCTGCCGCCGGCCCGAGCCCGACGTACGCACGACTTGTGGCGAGCGCAGCGCCGCGCCGAGGCCGTTAAGAGCGCCGGGCCGAGGGCGCCGCGGGGCGCTAGCGGGCGGGCAACCGCTCACGCAGGCGCACTGCGAAGAGGCGCGCCCGCCGAGCTCGCATCAGCCCGCCGGCGTCCCGCCAGGCCCGCTAGCGCTGCGCCCCGGCGATGCAGCATCGTTCGTCTTCCGAGCGGGAGGCCGCTCTGAGCAATATGCAGCCCAGACTTTACCCCCTATCTTCCCTGATCCTTTCTTTTTTTTTTTTTTTCCTTTTTTTGCAATATGATTGAATTTTTGTAACTGACGAGCTCGTCTGGCGAAGGGGAAAGCCGACATATCACAATGTTTCACGGTCTTCTGCTCGCTGCAACCGCTGAGTCCCGGGTGAAAAAGCATTTTATCGTGTTTTACCCGAGAGTTTATGCTAGTCGCTTTGATATTTGCTGTGGAGAACACTTACTTCGGTACATGAACGCCTCGCAGGCGAAACGAACGCGCTTGAAGTTCTCCATCCGCAACATTCGCTCTATGCGTGCTTGTAAGCGTGCACGGGACATCAGCGCGACTGGTACAATGCTTTGTTCGTCATTCTGAGTTGTGACTCGAAACGGGACTGCGGCAGAGGGCTAGAGATGCAACTCAATTTGTCGTGTGGAGGGGCCCCTTACTTTTGTTTGGATGCGGGTTGTAACGCTTAGATTATTAAGGAAGATTAAAAAATTCCCCCTCAGTGTACTCTTATAACCCTGTCACAGGGGCCCCTGAAAGGCCTTCTGGCAAAGCATTAAAAAAATCGGGGAGCTAGCGCACGTCAAATGGAACGCGCAGAGTCGAGAATTGCGATCTGGGTTTCTGCAAGGCTGAATGGCATTCGGTTAAATGCTACTTTAGAGGCCTCTTTGACGAAAGGCCATTCCACGTCTACCAAACTTCGGCACAAAGATGTCTTTGACGCGCTACTTGGGAATGACACGATTTTAAATAAAAGGGATACTGAAAGAAAAAAGAATGAAAGACTTTTAGAGTTCTTTCATTTTTAACGTTGTATTAGACGTTAAAACGCCGTATTAGAGCGCAGCTCTTGAGGAGGAGGAGGGGAGGGTGCGGAGGTGAGGGTATGCCCCTCCTCCCCCCCCCCGAACCGTCCTTTCCTCCTCTCCTGCTCCCCTCCCATTTAGCGGGCAATTTTCGCTAAATTTCCCGCTAAATTTAGAGAAAATTTCCCCCGCTTAGTTTAGCGGGAAAATATTCCCGCTAGATTCAGCGGGAAATTTACCAACGTTTTCCCGCTGTATTTAGCGAGAAATTTTGCAAAAATTTTTTCCGCTAAATTTAGCGGGGAAACTGAATTGGTGTTGAGGTCACGTAACGTCGATTTCCCCGATAAATTTAGCGGGAAAAGTTTTCCACTAGATTTAGCGGAAACGTTTTTCCGATAAATTTCACGTAACGTCACATTCATTCACGTGACGTCACGAGGGCAATATTTTCTCTTTAAATTTAGCGGGAAAATTTTACCATGGTGACGTCATTATGGGAAGCGTCCCATAATGTAAGGAGATGTGACAACAAATAAAACTTGATTTGATGGTGCAACGCGCAGTTACGCCGACGGTCATGCCGGTCACTCCAGAAACCACTATTGTTGGTTGTCTATTAATTTCGATAGCATTCGTCATGAGACTCACGACGCAGCTCATTGTGAATCCGACGAAGAAAATTTTGAGTAAACGCTTTATTTTATGAATTCAATTTTCCCGCCATATTTACCGAGGAAACTGAATTGATGCTTAGGTCACGGGACGTCAATTTTTCCGCCTTTTTTAGCGGGGAAACTAAAAAGGAGGAGGCCAGAGAGGCCCACGATATCTGGGGACGGGGGGCTTTTGTCTCGGCACCAGTCACCTAGCTGCGTTTGGAGATTCGTGTTCGTTCTTCGTCCCACTTATTCCCCTCCTCCAGGGATTATTTTCGTTATTCTTGTCCAGCTCGCTTAGACCTTTGCATTATATGCCTTATCATCATTACAGAATGCTATAGCATTCAAAACATTACATGCTACGAGTTCTGTTGTTTGTTTTTTTTCATGGCACTTTTTCATGTTTCTTTATTTTATTTTTTTAACGATATATTTCTGCAAAGCATAATCTGCTAGTTAAGCCCCCCCCCCCCCCCCCCCAACGTGCTTCCAAATCGCTTAAATTTTCCGTGGGTTTTGCGTGAACTGGTTTGTTACGCTGCTCCAACCAAATAAAGAAGTGCTGGGAAGCTTGATGCGCTTGAAAATGTATCAACACAATGGTTGTAATTATCTGTGTGGAAGAAATTAAGTAATTCGTTAAGCGATCTAACTTATCTACTGTCGGGAAAACAATTCAATAAAGTAAGAACGTACTCGTAAATTTTGGATCTTTGATAGCAATAAAATTGCTTTTACTACTCAAGACACAGGCGCCCAGTCGCCAGGTCGTCATGACAGGCTTGGACACCTGGGATACAGCAGAACGCTTGCAAGGATTCGTGAAAAGTACTACTTGCCCAAGCTCCCGAAGACCGTCCATCTCGAAGTCCTATCGTGCCACGAGTGTCAACGACGCAGGAAACTTCCGACGCAGCCAGTGGGACTCTTGCAACCAGTGGCGTACGAACTAGTTCTTGAAGGGGGGGGGGGGGGGGGGGCAAACCAGACCCTCCCCCCCCCCTCCTGGGTCGGGGGGTAGTGCCCTTAGTATCCCTTGGGCGCCGCCGGACAGTGTTGCCCTGCCCAGTGGCGGCTGTTTCAGGGAGGGGGAGGGGGGGGGGGGCAAACCAGACCTTCCCCCCCCCTCTTGGGTCGGATGGGGTGCCCTTAGTATTCCTTGGGCGCCGCCGGACAGTGTTGCCCTGCCCAGTGGCGGCTGTTTCAGGGAGGGGGAGGGGGGGGGGGCAAACCAGACCTTCCCCCCCCCCCTCCTGGGTCGGATGGTGTGCCCTTAGTATTCCTTGGGCGCCGCCGGACAGTGTTGCCCTGCCCAGTGGTGGCTGTTTCAGGGAGGGCGAGGGGGGGGGGGCAAACCAGACGTTGCCCCCCCCCCCCCTCCTGGGTCGGGGGGGTGGTGGCCTAAGTATCCCTTGGGCGCCGCCGGACAGTGTTGCCCTGCCCAGTGGCGGCTGTTTCAGGGAGGGGGAGGGGGGGGTTCTGGGCCCCGAGTAGCATTCGTCTCAGTCATATGCGGGGTGTCACCTCTGGCAGCATCCGGCACCGTCCCCTTCCCCCTCCTTTACGCTTTCCTGGTTGATTGCGATAGTAAATTGGGGGGGGGGGGGGGGGGGGAGGGTGCTGCGAAAGACATAACGCCGCCGGGTGCCGGATGGCCTAGCTACGCTACTGTGTTGAAGTTACCAAGTTCTTCGTTGAACCCATCGTCCTTTGGCACGTTACTCCCGGAATGCCGATGACAGATGGAGGGAAGTCGTTCTTGGCGCAACTGACGCAAGACATTCTCCAACAGAGCCTCACAAACCATTGTCAAGCCACTGCTTACCATCCGCATACCAACGGGCTGACGGAGCGGCTAAACATGACCATCGCCGACATCATCTCGACGTTTGTTCTTTCTTTTGTTTCTGGAAGAAGTTCGCCGATTAAACCTTTATTTTTTGTTCATTCTTCATCGTCTCGTCGCCTTCATTCGCGACATTTCTAATGGAGCTGCGGGAAACAACCCATGCAGTGAACCCCTACGAGGACCCGCAGTGCTACCTCGCACCTCCACCAAAAATGTCGCGGATGACGGCGACGAAAAGATGAATAGACGCCTTTCGATATACTGCCCTCTTTTGGCAGCTGTGGAATCCCTGCACAATGGCGGACGAAAACCGCCACGTCACGGAACACTTTATGCGTTTGGTTAGATTATAAGGCAAAAACTCACCCACAAACAAGGCGTTAGCGCAGTGACGTTGCACTTTCGAAGCTGTTTGATTGACTCGTTGGCTCGTATTCTCGGCTGCGCTTCGGCGTCTATCTTATGGAATGACCTGCACGTTCCACGATGCCAGTCGTTCCGCCAGTGAGCAGTGGTTCTGGTCTTACGTTGTTTCGAAAAGGGACTATAATGAACTGAAAATAAAGGTTTAATCGGCGAACTTGTGCCAGAAACAAAAGAAAGAACAAACGTCAAGAAAGCAGCAGCGAGCGACGGTGCGTCGACGTGACAGCTGGCTATCGCGAGCGTGAATCGGTGAATGAAGCGGCACTACCGCACTCGGCTCCTTATCTACTAGACTCGTCACCTCAAATATTTGACCTAGAACGTTCGGGAGTTAGCTAGGGCGAGACTGACTAGGCAAGGTCATTCTGGCCTCCTTAGCTTTTACTCCTGGAGTAAGAGTAAACGCGAATCTTCTAGATTAGGGGTCTCCAAACATCGGCCAGCGGGCCAGATCAGACCCTCTGAGGCCTCCAAACCGGCCCGCGGCCCGTTTCTATGGCAGTCTCGCTGCCACCGACGCAACAAATTCACAGGGTCTCTTATGTTATCCCTAAGACGACTTGAAGGCGAAGACCTAAACGCCGATGCATTAACCCAGGCAGCACACAGTATTGCGCCAATATTGGCGTCGAATCGGAGAAATTGGGCCAATATAATTCTGATACTGCCGGTATTGGCGCTGGATCGTAAAGATCGGGCCAGTCGTAGTGTGATGTGGCCGATGTCGGCGGAACATCACTTGGGTCGGCCAACCCCACGCTGATATACAGTATCCAGCGCCGTTTTCCGCTAATTTGTCGGGTCTGAACCGGCTGCATCGGCCGTTATTAGGAATTCAAGACCGTTTCTAAAACGATACCAGTAATTTGTCGGTCTGAACCGGCTATATCGGCCGGTATTAAAGATTCTTGACCGTTCCTAAAACGATACTGAATCGGTCGATCGCGCCGGCCAATTGCGGCGGCCGCCGCTGTGCACGGGCCCCGCCGAGGGCGCGACGGGCA